TTTGATTACCAACAAACGATGAAGGATTGGCCCGAAGAAGATGACTCGACTAGTTGCTGTTGGATCCTGAAACGAGAGTGGCGCATTTCTGGCATTTCAGATGGAAAGTTAGAGAAGAAGAATCTCTTGTAGCCACAAACCGGAGTGAGTGAACCGGGAGTGAAATCGGTTGGACCGGTGTAGTCAGGGTTGCAATTGTTCAAGTAGAATCTCCGGTCTCTCTCCGAGAACATGACAGTAGAAGAGTGGAAAGATGGACAAGGCACGTCGACGCGAGTCCACTCAGAGTCACCGACTCGGCAAAGACAGAGTCTAGAGCCGTAAAACTTGACGGCGATTACAAAGTCTTCGTTTGCAGAGGAGACAGAGACATTAACAAGAGGTTCGAATTTGTCTCTGGTTAATGGAGGTAGAGATATAGTCGTCTTCGTGTTGGTGAGATGCACTGTGGAATCTTTCTTGTTCATCGAAGCTAGCCATCCTCTTGATGATCCTATCTTTCGAGATTCATGGACCTCCTTCGACACAATCTGGTTTTCGCTCTTCACTTGTTCTTGCTTCCTTGGATCGTAGAGGTTAAAGTTGACCACTTTACCGCCGCAAGGAGAATCGCCGACAATGTCGCTGCCCAGAAGCAGGTATGGTGTCGTCGCCGTCGAGAATTCCGACCGCCGGGAACAGAGGTTTCTCGAGATTCGGCCAAAAAGCTGAGACATTGTTTCCAGAAACCCTAAGAGAATCAAAGACAATAATAATAAACCCTACTCACTCTTTCCTTGGGGATCATCAACTATATTGGAGATGCAAGAAAAATGTCAARTTTCTATATCCGGGAAAAAGCCTAGAAGAACACCCCCATAGTTTTAGGATATTTTAAAAACTACCCCAATACTTATAATTGTTACATTAAAGTCCCCGTATCATATGAATGATCAAAGGAAAATGTGGAAAGTATTGGTGTGTTTTGTAGAAATATTTAATTGGTTTGTTTGTTATGGGCGCCTAGTGGATTTGAGCTGTCATACACACAAAAATTAAAGTCACCCAGTCAGTAAATGGGTAAACTGTGGGTAATACTGACTCAGTAAATATTTATATCTGAGTCAGTAAACAAACAAAAA